ATATGGACCGAGGACCGCAAGGACCGGTCCTATTAACCGGTCTAAGACCGGTCTTACCAGGACCGATCCATCCCTAAGTTTGACGATAAGAAGTGCCACAATGACATATTGGGGTGGAGGTAAATTATAATTTTATTTATAATATACGTTCTTTAAAAGTATATCTGAAATTATAATATGGATGTAAAAAAGATTTCTACATTTTTTTTAAAAAAAATATAAACGACGAAGAAATATTATATTTAAAATAACTAAATACTTAATTAATAATCAATCCTATACAACAACCATCCATGCAAGAAAGATGATAATTTTTTTGACTATATGAATATATGAGCATAGTAAATTATATGATCCGTAACGTGATTTTAATAACTATATATGATTTTGTTTTAATTTGTTAAAGTTGTAAGATTGTTTTTTTGATTAGGAAATAGTTTTATTAAGGTTGTGTAACATCTGTCATTGTATCGGTTGTTTGTTGTTGTTTTCAGCAATTTTATTATTATTCAGATGTTAAAAACAGGGGTTTCTATAATGAAAGTTCTGAAGGCAAGGACGTTATTGTATGAAGTATTCTAAAAAGAATTAACAAATGAAGTGCAAGCACGACAATACTTCAAAAAATCTCATTAAAAAAAAAAAGAAAATTCTATTTTTTTTTTTAATGTACTTATTTATACACATGATCCAATTTTAATTTTAACATCATTGCCATTAAAAATAAAACATATCTCTTGAAGCATTCATTATATTAAAAGTGTAAGGCCTTTTTTCGGAATAATCAAATAATTTGTCACTTTATTTATTTTACTTTCACACACTCGGACGAACTTTGTAGAATTCAAAGACTTCGAAACTAGGACATTGAAATTAATATTTATTCCCTGTCATGTTATATGGCGATTGAATCAATTGTTTTGTCATTTTGGTTTCAACAAAATATAATATCAAAAGACCGACGTAAAAAAATTTATTTTAAAAACATTTTTTTTCTTTAATGAATTCTATGTTTAATTTCATTAAAAGAATATGCCATACGAAAAATATACAAAAAAAATACGTGAATAAGAAATCCTATATAAATTCAAGATAAGGAAAGAAAGGAGGAAAAGAAAATTGATAATTTTTTTCATTTTAATTTTTTTTTTGTTTTTTAGCAATATATATAATATTTTTTGCTTCTTTAAGGGGAGAAAAAAAAAGTAAAAACTAGCAAATTTATATTGAAATGAGAAACTTCTCCAGTATAAGGAGTTTCTCTAGGGAGTCGGAGCAGCTAACAAACCAACACATGCTGCCATACAAGCACCTTGGGCAAGATTACAAGCAGCAGCGGCAATGGGGGCACCAAGACCTCCAGTAATAGTACCTAAAGAATTAAATTTGATTAATCTTTGAACGTATACAAATTAATATAAAATATCATTTAATATTAATAGATTACTTACCAGCAGCCAATCCGGCAGCACTATAACACGTTACCCAGCCAATATTACATGCAGTTTGACATGCTGCATAAGCAAGAGGACCAGCGTTAACGCTTGATGGTTGAAGGACGAAGATGATTATTGAAACCAAGACGATGAAATGTATGAATTTTGCCATGGTATATATCTTGATTCAAAATTGTTATGTGTTAAATTGAATTTTAAAGTGAACGTTAATGCGGATTAATTATATAATTATGAATCTTATAAATGAAAGAGCGTTATATAAAATTGAGAGAGTAAATACGAAAATGCTCTCCTTAAATATCAATTTGCCCTGAAAAAAAGGTTTTTGTTTTCTAATTAGGAAATGACACAATAAAATTATTTGCTTTTGTCATTCTAATTAGGAAATAGAGTGTACAAATTTTAGGTTTCACCAATTGTCATTTATAGGATAGTGTGAATGCAACAATGCATGTAACTACATATTTTGAATGGCGCTATTTTTTAGACTATCATTATGAGTCATATGAGTCAGAAGGACCGATTCGCTAACAAAACAAATCCTTTTTGAGTATATTTTATTTTTTTTCCAACATCGACCGAACAATTTAAATTTTCAATGCTTAATTTAATAAATACTTGCATCATAACTTGTGACACATTAGGCTGTTCAGTCGGTTTTTTATGATTTTAATATTTTTGCTTCTTATAATATATACTTCCGAAAGTTTCAAATGCTTTCATAGACTTCTCTTTTTTAAAGGTTGATCGTACGTTCAATAATTTCTATTTTTCTTTAATATTTATGATGAAGAAAATATTCCTGAAAGAATTAAAATTGTAGATTTTGAAAATTCAGATGAAAATTTAGATAATAAATTTTGAATTTTTTTATTTTAACTTTATTAATTTTTGTGTAATTTTTATCAATTTTAATCAATTTAATAAAATCTTTCAATGAAAATTTTTATTGCAATTATCATTTTGAATTTTATGGTTTCGCAAAATTAATACGAAGTAATACATATGGAAAATAGGGAAAATGAAGCATCAAATCAGCCTGTTCCTATAGATCCTGTTCTTGTTGATATTACAAATAAAGTTTCATTACAAGAGGGATTACAAAACCATGAAATATTAAGAGAAGCTGCTCGACGAGACCTTGAAAATTATACTGAGAAAATGGTTAAACAAATGAATAAAGGAAGGAAAAGGTCAAACAACTACGAAATTGGAGAGTTTAGTAAGAATTCCTATACCAAAAATTGCCTGTTTTGGTACTGAAAGTCCCATGCTTTCATGCAAAATCCCGGAAAAAATTAATAATCAATCTCGGTTAGGATCTCAATTTGAAATCATTAATATCTTCTATTCACCAGGAGAAATTGATCCCCTTGGTGTTAACCAATATCCAGAACTTGAAACAATACCTACAAATACTATTACTATCAGAGAGGCTGCACGTCTTCAAACTGTAGCTTCAACTACAGGAACAATTTGTAATTGTAAAGGGAATTGCAATAGTAATAGGTGCTATTGTAAAAAAATGGAAAATAATTATGGAAGCCGATGTCATGATGGTAGGCAATTCCAAAACAAAAAAGAAGTTAATTAAGTAGGTAAAATTTCGCAATTTATTGTACAATAATAGAGTTAGGTAAAAAATTATTCAAATATATAGGGTATATGGTATTTACTTGAGAAAAGTGAATAAAAAAAGAATATTAAAAGGAATTAAAATACTCTATATAGTTTATTTTATAATGAATAATAAGAAAAAAATGTACTTTGGTAAAATTTTATTTGATTAATAAAATGCGAATTTCACAAAAAGTTTTTCTTATTTTGTGTTGCATAAAAAAGTGATTAAAAAAATTGCGTCAAATAACAGTTGACTTGCGTCAGGTGACAGCTAAAGCGCCTTATTGTTGTGACTGAAATTGATTTTCGTCTGAAGTTGGAATTCAGACGATTTTCGAGTGTCTGAAATTGAGATTCGAAGATCAATTAACTGAAATTGGAATTCCGATTTCAGACGAAAATCAATTTCAGTCACAACATTTATTAACAAACGCGCGTTAAGTATCGATTTACACCTGATCGAAGCACCCTCGTTATTTCTAATGTCCATATTTGGTAAAATTCCCTAACTGAACTATGTTAAAAAAGAGTACAGTTGGGGATTTTTACCAAATATGGACATTAGAAAGAACGAGGGTAGTAAAAATATTCCAATTGGTGTTTTCTTTTGTTATAGAATACTTACTAAATAAGAATCTTAAATGAAAAAAAAAAAATTACCAATTTACTTGTACTATATAATAGAACGAAATATTTTACAAATTTATTAATACAAGCCACCCCCGTTATTACATTTACATCATTGTTATTGTTAATTATAATCCGGCCGATTTAATATGAACATTTCATAAAATTGAATGAAGAGAGAATCTCTTTTCATAAGATGATAGTCAAATAATTTTTTAAGATAAAAAGCCCCAAAAATCATCTTCTCTTTTCAAAACCAATCCTCCAATATTTATTTATTTTATTTTTTTTTTTTTTTATCTAATTAAAAAAAAATGAACAAAAAAATTATATTTTATTTCTTAACTGCATTGGTTGTGTTAACCTTCAAAACCGATTCAAGTTATTCAAATCCAACGATTCCTAAATATGATGAGAATTATTGGACATTGGAAAAAATGAAAGAAGCTAAACCCTTAACAATTAAAAATGTTGGATTTAGAACAAGAAGAGGTGTCAAAACTATAAAAAATACAACTGACTCCTCTAGATATATGAATTCTATGCAACCTTTTGAGAGAAAATATGATGTAAATACTAGGGTAGCAAATGAAGATCATGTAGATCAAGTTAAATCTATCGCCATCGGATTGTTATTTATGAGCAAGGATGGTGAAGATTATACTTGTACCGCTAGTGTAATCAATACTAATGATGGAAATATTGGACTTACTGCAGCGCATTGTCTTTTTCATTATGATACTAACTCATTTTTTGATAATATAATCTTTTCTCCTGGATATGACAATGGACAACCTGGTCCACTTGGTAATATTCCTATCGCCAAGGTGGTAGTAACAAATGAATTTCTTCATAATAATGATGATAGATTTGATTGGGGCATGATGTTATTTAATTTTAACTGGAATGGCCTTTCATTAAAACATTTTACGGGAGCTCTCGGTTTTCGATTCAATCCAGGAGACAATGTTCCAACAACTATTCACGGTTATCCGAATGGAGGTGTTCTTGCAAATTGTCCAAATGATGGACTACATCTTTGTACGTGGCAAGGAGAAACAATATTGGCAAATTATTATTATATCGTACATGACTTAAATGTCGGAGAGGGTGCAAGCGGAGGTCCTTTAATGATGAATTATGATCCAAATACGAATTTGGGTCAATTATATAGTAATTATGCTTCTTTTGATGAACTCAATGATCAATTACTTGCACCTATTTATAACCCAGTACAATTCCAATCATTAATAGGTGATCTTATCTTTTAACTATCATGTATTTATTATTTTACTATATTTTATTATTTTCTATTGAACGATAAATAATTAAATGATTAAACAAATAATTAATGTGATGTCGATGATCTTTCTATATAGTTACGCCCTTTAAAATATATTTGTCTTTTATGTTTGAATTGTAAACTTCGAAAGACTTTCTTTTAGAATTTTTCCTTGCCTATTTTATTAAAGCTTTAATCGTAATCATTAAATATAAAACTTTATTATCATTGATTAAATGAGCGATGCAACAATCTGGTATTTTCCTTTTTTTTTATAAAATAAATTTAATATTTTCAAAACCTCTAATGACTATATAACCTTGCTGATATAATAATTTCAAAGTGAGTATGTATTTACTAATTGTTCGCTCGTGATGTTTCATATCGATATTTTACCAGATTCACTATCGGGTTGAATTTTCCGTGAAAATATCAACATGACGCAATTACCATGATATATCAAACGAAAATCGTACCACAAAATGTTTAATATATTTTATTTAATAAGCTTGATATAGCATTTTTTTAAAAATATTACATTTATTACAAGCGTTTATGATTATAATAAAAATTATTTTAAAGTAAAAGTTAACATTTGAAAGTTACAATTAGACCTTTTCTTTACTACTATTATTGAAAGGCATTTTAATTGGTAAATCTTGTGATTAAGATTTATAATTTGAGAAATTGTAATGGTTTCTTATTGTAATCTTGGATTTGTTGCAAGGCTCATAAATTTCTTGATTGGTAATATTTTGAACTTGATTTTGAGATTCTTGGTCCTTTCCTTTATATTATAAGTAGAAAGTGGATCGGGATTCTGATTTTTGTGTTACATTAGCGATTAACGCGTTTTTTCTTAAACCTAAAAATTAAATAATGGATATTCGAAGGCGTATTTTAATTGCCTCGACAATTCTGATTCATCCTCTGAAGAATCAACAGATGATTATCAGTTTTTATGATTGTATAAATGCTATTGAAAGAAATGATTTTTTAAGAACAATTCAAAGACAAGAAAGAAGATCCTGTAGCATTTGTTGGCAAAAATTATTGATGTGCTAAAATTGAGAAGTCCGCTATGCCCAAAAATTGTATCTGTCTCATAATTTTTTATTTTTGTAATACGATGATAATTATTTTTTAAAGAAATTATTATGTATCTAATTAGAACAAAATTTTTCCGATTCAAATTATTACCATTTGGTTATTTTTATTAATTACCAATGAATTCTAATGTGCTGTGCCTCACATACTACGGTAAGATCTACATACATACCTTGACAATATGTATTATATTACTATTACATTCTATTATCGTTACACAAAGATAATTAGGTTGAAATAAACTTTTTTTTTAAAAAAAAAATAACTACTTTCTTATAAATTATAACAATGTCTAATAGTAATTATAAAGGTAAGAGTGAAATGAAGAAACTAAAAAAATATTTTCACCAAACAAGATAAAGAAATTAAAAGTATGAAGCTTCGTATGACTAAAATTAGTTAATTTGACGGTTTGACAATATTCTAATCTTTTTTTTTTATGAATTTATATTAGAGCCAGTTTCGGATGCTAAAAAAGCTTCCTCATTAGTAGGTAATATATACCGTTAATTATTTGATTGAAATTCAAAAATAGAAACAGTTTTAATTGATAAAGGTAATACAACTAATATTAATTTCAAAATTTTCTCAAAAATAATATTATAATAGAATCAGATTCAAATACTCCTACATTAGAAGATTTAAATGGTAATAAATTTATTATCTATTATTTATTATATAATTATTTAATAATTAATATTTTTTTTAAAAAAAAATTTAATAATAATAATACTTAGATTGTAAACCATTTAACTTTATTATATTTTAATTTAAATTTAATTAATTTATATTTAAAAATTATTTAATAATCAATAATATTATAGTAAGTTATTTATTTTTTTTTACGTTATAATTTAAACTTAATTTATTATATAAAAATATTTAATTTTAATTAATGATCTTTTAGTTGGTAAATTATTTATATTTATAATTTTATTATAATTTATAAATAAAATTTTATTAAAAATAAAATATTAATAATTTAGTTGGTAAATTATTTTTATTAATTCTTTTGGATTTAGACAACTCTCAACAGATTAAACTGCAAAAGGATTCAACCCAATACATGATGAAAAATAACCTATTACACAAACAAACTAGAAATGGAGATAAAAGAGTAATTTTGCATGAATAAGTGGAAATTATTTTTTACAATCTTCATAAAAATATGACAGGAGCTTACCTTGAAGTTGATGCTACTTATGAAATTGCAAAGGAAAGATATTATTGGCCTCAGATGTTTGATGATGTTGGGAGTTACATTTAGTGATGAGACAATTGTCAGAAAAAAGGATCGTCTAAAAGAAAAGAACTCTTGCAACCAATTGAAGTAAAAGCACCCTTTCACAGAGTTAGAATCGATATAAAAGGATCATTACCTAGGACTTTTCAAGAAAATCGTTACATAATTATTGCCATGGATTATTTTACAAAATGGCCTGAAGCTAAATCAATACCAGATATTAAATCAGAAACAGTTGTGAAGTTTATTTTTGACAAAATTATTTGCAGATATGGTATTTCTAAAGAACTTCTATCTGGCAGGGAAACTTCTTTCTTGAACAAAATAGTGAATACACTTTGTAAAAAATTCTAAACAAAACATTGACTTACTTTTGCATATAAATTACAAACAAATAGTATAGTTGAAAGATTCAATAGAACAATTGGTGAATGTTTTGCTAAATTAGTTGCTGACAAAGAAAAAGAATGGGACGAATATATAGAATCAGTTTTATTTGCTTATCATACAATGAAGCATAATACTACTGGTTATACACCTTTTACCTTTTTCATGAAAAATAAGCAAAGTTACCAATTGAATTAAAATCCCAATAGAATTGAATAATGACAAAAATATTAAGGATGCATTAATAGAAAGATTATTTAAGATAATCAATTAATTAGAAGATAATCGACAAATTGCTCTTAATCAAATCAAGGTTGATTAACAGAAGCAAAAGGATTAACATGATATTGGCATAACATTTGAGAAATTTAAAATAGGTGATAAAGTATTAGTAGAACGCATATGGTTAAAAACTAATTTTTTTGCAAAATTAGAGGAACGTTAGATAGGACCTTATTTCATACATAAAATGTGAAACAAAATTACAAATTAAGAAATATAGATAGAAGATTGGTTAAAGATGTAATACACAGTAATCAACTTAAATTATATTACGAAAATATTTTAGAATCTCAAATTCTTATTTAAAAGACTACTCTTCTTAGGTTTAAAACTGAAAAAGAAAATTCAAAAATAGCTACTTCATATGATTTTATAAGTCTTGATATTTTAGAAGTTGACCCTCAAGATGTTTTAGTGATTCCACCTCCATATATAATATTAAAATAAATTTTATTTTTTAATTATATAATAAATAATTTAAGGTTACTTATAAGCTAAAAATTTG